CCTCATAATTCAATTGACCAGAGAAAACGTGATGATGCTGTGATAAATTGGATAATTTGTGATTTACAATCAATTAACGTAGTAGAGAAAGAAGAATGGCGTACAATGATTTCTGCTTTTGATCCTAGATATAGATTTCATGGTAGAACTACCATTCATGATCATATAATGTTGAGATTTCAAGAACAGAAAAATAAAGTTAAAGCTACAATACAACAAATTAGCAGAAAAGTTTCTTTGACTTCTGATATGTGGACTGCCAACAACAATAAAGCATTCCTCAGTCTCACAATTCATTATGTTGATAATGATTGGAAGTTTAAAAGTTTTTTGCTGGATATAATTCCAATGTTAGCTCAACATACAGCAATAAACATAACTAATGCCATTATTGAAATATTAGAAGAGTATGAACTTTGTGAAAAAGTTCTTGGTTTGACAACAGATAATGCCACCACAATGGTAGCTTGTGGACGTTTTTTGTCTGAAGAATTAAAAAATAATTATAATAATGATAAATTTTCACACTATAGATGTGTTGCTCATGTTCTAAACCTTGCAGTACAACAAGGACTTCAACTCATTGATGAACCAATAATAAAAGTAAGAAGTTTAATGTCATACCTTCGTTCCTCAACACCTGCAAATAATTCTTTGAAGAATTTGTGTACCATAAAGGAAATCAGATACTTATCTCCTGAAATTGATGTAAGCACTCATTGGAATTCAACGTATTACATGCTGATAAAATTCATACACCTACAGCCAGTTTTACAAATGCTTCAAGCTGATAATAGTAGTGTTAGGGCTCATTATCCCACAAACGAAGAATTAAAAAATATAAAAGTATACATGTTTATAAATATATATTTATTATTTAATTTTTTTTTAAAGTATTCATACATACATATGTATACATATATTTATTTTTTTTTGAAATAAAAAATTTTTAAAAGGATGCAATAGTTTTATTAGAACCAATTGAACATGCAACAAAATTGTTGTCAGCTTCATCTTATTCCACACATGGTGATGTTAGATTTTGTTTTTTGAGTATTTTGGAAGATCTGGAAACACATTATAATGATGATGAATTTACTCAACCAATGATTGCAAATAGCATTCACCATAAATTAGAAGAATATTGGCCATTTTTGGATATTACCTCACAAATTTCTTCAATTTTAGATCCTCGTTGCAAACTATCAGCTTTCAAAGATGATGAAAAAGAAAATGTAAAAAATTTAATTTTAGGATTATCTTCATACTATCAACTTCCAAATAATAATAATGCAATATTAAATTATAGTAATAATAGTGGTAATGCACGTAATTATTTTCTCAACCTTCAACTAAAAAATTCATCTAATACATCTACTACCACAACTGATTTACATCAAAATACAATTTCCAACTCAGCTACTTGTACCAATAGTTCAACAACTGATACACATTCTTTAATATTGTGTGAATTAACTAAATATTTGAGTGAATCAAGAAAAAATGATATTGATCCTATTTCATGGTGGAATATACAAAAATCTGAATATCCAATTTTGAGTACTATAGCTTGTGACTATCTATCTGTTCAAGCAACAAGTGTTGCTTTGGAACAAGCCTTTTCCATTGCAGGTCAAGCAATTTCATCACAAAGGAACAGGTTAGAACCAGAAACAGCTAGAGCAATTTTGTGCTTAAAATCAATAAATAAAACATATTTTTATTAATAAATTTGGCAGAAAAAAAGGAACAAAAATAATTAAATTTGTTGTTATTTGT